ACAAAGGGTGTCACTGGGAGTCCCTCGTAGGGATCCTTTCCATGATGTAGTCAGACACCTGGTGACAGTCTGAGCCTGTCAATGGCAAAAAGAAGTAATATGTTGCAGCCACTGCAGCTGGTTCGAGGCTGCTGACTGAAGCCATCTACTGCATGGATTGCAAAAGGTTTTGTACCTACAAGTCATTTTGACACCAAACTATAGCCCAGGTGTGGAAATACTGACAGTATCCTTTGTGAATTCCTTATTATCTTCAACTAGTAGAAAACTTGATAATATTGGTGTCTGGGTCAACAATATATCTGACGGAATCTCCTCACGCGTGAAGAACTGGGTCATGTTCAAAAATAAACGCAAGAGGTAAGAGGTAGGCTTATTTATTTACTTTAGTTACTTAGTACACTACATTATTATTTTGAACTCTCCTTCCTGCAGCCAACAGATAGGTCGACACACTACAATAACTATATCAATAATTATTCTTATGATGAGTATATTTTAATATAGCATCTTTCATGTAAAATGTTTACAGAGAAAATGATGTGAAATAATTGAAATGATTATAGAAGAAATAAAGAGATTATCTCAGCATATCTCAGTTTCAACAGTTGATGGGATACTTCTAGTTAATTTTGGTATTTAGGGGTGCTATTCACAAGCTATAACAAAAACAGGGTTTAAAATACTGAACATGTTGTTATCACTACATCTCCATTGTGTGGAGGCTGTTTGGGGACCTATGTTGAATATCATCCACGCTCTCTCCCTCACACTGTCTACTAAAACCATGAAATGCCCCTTAAAAACACTTACACCAGCCGAAAGGGATTGTTCACAACCTGACAACCCAAGAGTTGCTCTTATTGATGTTATATAATTGATCTACGGGGTATTAGTAAAGGATTTATTCACCATTAATAAAGCCATTAGTTACACTTTCTAAACCCTTTATAGAGAGAAGAAAGCAGCAGTGGGTAGGCTAACCGTCTCACTGAGTGTCACTTTTTAACAAACTGGTAACTGTGTATTAAAACCGCACACACACACACACACACACACACACACACACACACACACAAATCTGCCTATGTGTTGTCTGGGTAATTCAGAAAAACAATACAATTCCTGCAAGCTATGTTTTTATGCAGTCTCTGCATTAAAATGATAATTACAGCCGTGTGTACTTTACACTCTCATTTCTGTTTTGTCCATCTAATCAATTAGACACAGCATTCATCCTTTCCCCTCCCTTATGATCCAGCTGCTTTGTGCTGCTTCCTGTCACCTTGCATGACTCCTGAGCTGCAGTTTCGGCCCGTGATTCCTCTAGGAAACAAGGAAGCAATGAAGGGCGGATGTGAATGGGAACTGAACGGAGCCTGCGTAAACATGGAGGGGATTCCTAGCAGACTGGGGAACAATCTCTATTAACCTCTGTATACTCCGTCTCAGGCAGGCGGCTGCTGTCGTGACGGATGACACGGATTTAAGAGACTTTGATGAGTGTGTCGCAGCGCTGTGTGTGTAGTCAAGAGAATCATGAAACCCTACCAGTGTGCGTGCGCGTGTGGATCTTGAGGTTCTCGGAGCGTGCGAACATCTTGCCGCAGTTGGGAAATGCGCAGGAAAAGGGCTTCTCCCCGGTGTGCACGCGAATGTGGTTGATGAGTTTGTATTTGGCTTTGAACGCCTTCCCGCCGCGCATACACTCGTCCCACATGCAGACGTGACTGAGGGTCTCGAGACCCGCCGCTACATGCTCGGTGGTGACGTGGTCCACCAGCTCGTGCATGGAGCTGAAAGTTTGGTCGCAGACGGATGTCGCCGTCCGCCCAAGCCTCTGTCTCGAAGAAGTTCGGTCAATCCATTTGCAGACCAGTTCAGTTTTGACGGTGGGGCCTTTGGAGAAATCCAGTAGGCCGTCCATCCCACCGACGACACCGCTGTCGGCAGAAGCGGAGATGCTAGTGGCTCTCGGCTGTGGTGGTGAGACGATGCTCGAAGCCCCGGAGTTGTTGTTCCCCAGCGGAGAGACGAGGCCATTGTGCCTGGCCACTACAGCCGTCCGCTTCATGCTCAGCACGGCGGGCTGCCCCGCTCCGGTCGCCAACTACAATCCTCTCTTCCACGTAAAATGACTTCAATCCAACTGGCAAAGCGTCCGCCGCTGGCCTGCGTCCTTCCTGTGTGTTTTGGTGAAAGGGAGAGCGCATGCGGCAGTGTCTTTACCCCCCGCTGCTCGGTGTTAGATCCCGAGAGTCAGAGCCTCCATGCTTTTATTTACTGTGTGAATGGAGGTGAACGGAGTCGGAAGGGATACAGCGGGCCGCGACCCAACACTGTCTAGCAGCGTCCTTTTCTCCTTTCTTCTCCACTCCTGCCTTCATTCCTTTTCTTATTTTTTAAACTAGCAGACCCACAAAGTTATAATAAAACAGGAGGGGGAAAAAATCACATTCAGTGACTATACTGTGTCACAGTGTTTATTTGGAGGCAATTTGTGTTGAAATGAAAAATAACATAAAAGCTAGGCTACACACACACTTTGTATTTATGTATTTATCTAGCATTTGTGGAACAATTGAAAGTGCACACACTAACATTCCCATTATCTAGGATGACAGTTTACTCACCAGTTTCAATGCTGTTATTTTTTATGTTTCTATTGTTATCCCGAAGAAAAAGAACAAAGAGTTTTCTTTGTGTCCAAAGCCTGATATAGCATAACCTCCCAGCCATAATAGGCCACTGTTTCCAAGAAATGATTAAAAACAGGACAGCCCATGTTGGGAGGATTGTTTTTTTCTGCATCATAAACACCGAAATGACCTTTATGAATAAGAAGTGAGGGAGCTATGCTTTTTGCACTAAACCATAGATGTTAATGGATAAAAGTAAGTTAATATACAATAATACATTCATAATCATGAATACATAATAATAGTCATCTGATCTGCCTGGTAGTAGACTACTTTGACTACTTTACGCAGCAGAAGTGTTCTGCACAGGTGTGTAGTTATTTTTTTTAGTTGCACTGTGACAAAATACAGCTAAATCTAATTCTGGAGCCTTGCATTAAGTATTTATAGGACTGTTGGATTAGATTGTACAACAGAGTACTAGGGCCACTTTTCAAAGAAAAAAACCCTACAGATTTTTTATAAACATTATGACAATAAAGGTTTCATTTTAAGTAAGAAAAGGTGTGAAAAATGTCAAGGAACAAAAATCTATATTTTTTTTGTTGTAGCCTAATATGTATAATATTTTGAGAAAAATACAAGGAATCATAGTAGTATAATACCAAATAAAAGTATGAAATTAAAATGGCTCTTAAATTATTAATTCATAAAGAATGAAAAGTGAAAGTACTCACTAAGAACAGTCCCATTAAATTGTTGTCTCTTTACATTATATTCACTACAGTTGTCAGATAAATGTAGTGCGGTAAAAAGAACACTATTTCTTTCTGAAATGTACTGCAAAAAGTGTTAAGTATGTCAGATAATATAGAGTTGCCTTATATCTATTTTGAACTGATGAGTTTGTCTCACTGTCACAACATTACTGGAATAATCTGACTAGAGTGGGTTGGCTGTAGCACTTGGGGACTTGATATTCTCCAGTCTGCTGTGCCAAAGCACAAAGACAACAAAACACAAATCAATGGTGTTCTCAAGCTCTCACGAACTGCAACTAACAATTATTTTCACAGCAAAACAATTTATTTGTCACATACACAATCATACATAGGCCAGTGAAATTAGTAAAAGAATACATCTGTGTATTTCAGAGAAATTAAATAGTATGACTGTGGATGAGTTTCATAGAACTAAAACAATATGACTGGTACACATATTTTATGCAGTGTGTGGCAGGTGGATAGATTATTATTTGAATTATAAACTATGAAGGCTACGTGAAGTGAAAGTCCCTGGTTCAGGACCGGTTGGGAACTACAGGGGACCAGGGGGAGCTTGGCTCTTTATAAGGCATAAGAGCCCATGAAAACATGATTTATGAAATGCTGAGGGAGGGATCTCTAAAATATTGACAATATGCTATTTTCACCATGCATTTCTATTTTTCTGTACCTTTATAATCATGGATCATGTGTAAAATTAGGCTGTTTTTGATGCATGATTCATGCATGAGGGTGATTCATCACTAATTCAATTTAATAAAGATATAAGCATGCGTGCTGTTCTTGTCATGACCATTGAAAAATGGCGTTCACTCACTTAAACACAAAAATCATAAAAAAAAGTCTCACCCAGTATGCATGCCGAATTGCCATGATCCATTTAAGATAAAGCACCAGGTGAAACGCTAAAAAAGTTTTGTACAGCAAGAAGGACACATCTTCCCACCTTTGCTGTCAATGATATTGTCATGTTGTCATAGACTCCAATGCAATCTGACTTCTTTTTGCAACCGGTGGAGTTGTAATTTTATTTAGAGACCCAACAATTCCCACCAGCAAGCACTTGGCTACACAGGCAAGGAAAAACTCCCTTGAGGCAGAAACCTCAAGAAAGACTCAGTGTGTGGCCATCTGCTTCGACTGGTTGGGGGGGGGGGCAACACAACATTTATACAGGAAATACAAACAGTAGTAGTAGTGGTACAGAAAATGAATAATGGTACTGATAATTATAGTAATATAAATGATTATAAGAATACCAGTTATAATTGTAGCAGTGGATGTTGTACAGGAACAAGAGGGCAGCAGGTGACTCGCAGACACAGATCCAGACTCTACGTCTCCAGGGGATGAGGTGTGGCTGCCCACCGCCCCGCCTGGGGTTCTGCCTGTCAGGGAGATCCAGCTGCACAGAGTGGAGCAGAGCTTGTATATGTTATACAATTATGTAAAACATATACAAGCAGAAAATCGTGAAATAGTGACTGCTTGGCAATATAACTGGAAAACACAACTAAGAAGAATAAACAAGTTATCAAAATAGCTGAATGTAAAGCCCACTGCTTAGTAGAATCACCATACTATATACTATATAAAACTATAGTTTTTGTGTATTAGGAGGCAGTTTCAGCAAGAAAATTTGTATAAATTATCTGTACTATAATGATTGTCACGACAAGTTAAGCATAATATACATTTGCACGGCATGAATTCCAGCCATTCATTAAATATTCACCAGTGTGTTGCACAGGTGCTACTTTGCTGTTCTTTCTCTCATTGTTAAGCTTCTGTTAATGAAACTCAAAACTTCCTGCAGATGTTTCACTGTGAATCCTCGTCTCTCCACTCTCTGTTCTTCTACTGACACTGACATTGAATTGTAGAATCTTTTCACTTGTTTCTGTGTGAAACAAAATACCTAAAAGAATAGGTGTGTTCCTTCAGCTCTACACATTGTAACATTACAGTATCATACAGTTTATATTTCTGTGTTTAAAAGTTTCATTTAAAGTTAAATAGACTGACCAATCACAACACAACAGGGTGGCACAAATATAATATAAAGCTACTCTCCTCAAAAAGAAATTCTCCAAAAGTGGTGAGGGCTGAGATTTTCACATTTCACATGTTGGTCTGGTCTAAGGACATCTACATACCAGTTATAGTCATTACATCACTTTCTGGCAGCAGGTAGCAAGCCTTGTGTGAAAATCCTCATTTGATTTACATGACCTTTTCACTGTGTTATCAACACTTGATCTACTGGGAAGTAATGTATAATTAGTTAATTGAAAACAATGAATTATCATTCATACAGCTTATAGGAACATGACGTACAGTTAGTGCATGCTCTACAGAAAGGCAAGACAAGTTTAATTGTATAGCACATTTCAACAAGGCACTTACAAGTGCTTTACATAAAACAAAAAGCAGCATAATATCAAAAGACGTCTAAATACAATTAAAAAGAATTAAAAGGAAAATAAAAACAAGATAAAACAGGACAGTAACATTTACAGTGTAGTGTAGATAGCAATAAAAGGTGATCAAAAAGCCTTGATTTAAAAGAACTGAGAGTTGCAGCAGACCTGCAGTTTTCTGGGAGTTTGTTCCGGATATCTGGTGCATAAAAACTGAACGCTGAATCTCCATGTTTAGTTTTGACTCTGGGAACAGAAAGCAGACCTCAGAGGTCTGGATGGTTCATAGTGTAGCAGAAGATCAGAAATGTGTTCAGTCCCAGAACTATTCAGAGCTTTATAAACCAACAGCAGTATGTTTTAAATCAATTATATGACCGACAGGAAGCCAGTGGAAAGACCTGTGCAACGTCTGCACTGAAAAAAATATTGTTACCACCTGCACCAAATGTGGCAAGTATATCTGTAAGGACCACACCTCATCATGCTGCATCTCCTGCTGCACATGAACTGAACAGCTCTCTCTCTCACACACAGACACACACACGCTCTCAGATTTGTTTTTCAAATCAATTCTTTCAGTTCATTAGCTTTATTAGCATGAAAGTATAGAAAGCAATTTTGAGACACAAAATAGTACTATTAAAAACAAATCCACAAACCAATAACACAACATAGATAAACTACAACATGTAAAAGCAAAACGGTCCACATGTGTACATGTTACTTTGTGTGTCTGTGTGATAGGCTTTGTCAAGATAATTATTTGTCATATTCAGTAATGTTGTTTCAACTAGTGTTCCTGCAGTTTGCTACATGCAGTCACATATTGTACAGTTAAGTATACTGTATGCTGTTTGTAGGTACTTCTCCTAATAGAATCTTTTCACTGCCATCTAGCTCTGTGAAGTTTGGGACTAAAAAATCCAATTTCTTAAAGTGTTGCACTGTGATATTTTTTTATTTGTCACATTTTAAGAGGAAGTGCATCTGTGTCTCTGCCTCACCTGTCATGCAGCGATCAAAGACTCTTTCATCTGTTGACAGCCCAGGCTTCTTGTGTAGTCCTTTCTCTGTGGCTAGACTGTGGTCACTGAGCCTGTATTTGGTCAGGATCTGTCTCTGCTTTGTATCTCTGACAGTGAAGAGATAATCTACCAGTTCTATTCATGTTTTGGGGCACAAAAGCAATTAAGTTTTCAGTTCTTCAGTTTGTAGTGCCTGAAATCTCAGTGTGCATTTCTCTCTCTCTCTAAATGCAATCTCCTTTAGCAACAAGACTGGTTCAAAGTGATCTTGTATATCTGCTTCATTTCTAAACAAAACTTGAACAATTTGCATGTTTGGCCATAACACAGGATGTAAACTTTAGATTGTACAGCGCTTTTCAAGAACATTAACATTCACACTGAAAACACAGAAGATAAAATGACCACCCGAGCCACATAAAAAAGTGGCCTAAAAAACACAGTACATAATAAAGATACGTAATAAATACCCAACACATAGTAAAAAAACATGATAAATACACATTGTGTGGTAAAAAATGTTTAATACATAGAACATAAACACATAAGATGCAGACCAGTCTCTAAACAGGTGTGTCTTTAGCTGCCTTTGAAAGAATCCATAGAATCAGCAGACCGAAAGGTGTGGGCAGAGCATTTCAAAGTTTGGGTGCAAGGGCCTCACGCTGCTGTTCAACATGAAGTAAAACTTGACGTGTCTAAACTGCTTGCAGTGCCAAATACTCATGTAGATTGGCAAACAGCCTCCTGTGCTGAACGCAGTTATACCAACCCCCACAAGGCACATGCAAGGGGCGAGGGCCCGTTCAACTGCTTGCAGCTTTAATATCAAGGATATTTTTATATCAAGGATATTTTTATTTATTTATTTTGTTTTACCATTTTAAAATGTTGCCATATTTTATGGACTGTCACAAGTTTTTTGTAATAGTCACATCATATATTTGTAACACATACATATCACATTTGTATTTTGTTGTTTTTATGATAGTAATCTTAATATTTTTTATTAATAATTATGAATATATAACAATAATTTAATTAGCAAAAACTACTGTGTGTTTTCAGCCAGCTTGTGAGTTCTGTATCTTTTAGAGACTTTATTCTGAAAAACTCAACCGGAAGATGTAATTAATGTATTTCCTGCCAGAGGAGTGACATACAGGCTAGCTTCTCTGTCCATGTTATCCCAGAGATGTCGGAGTCTCCGGACGCCCGCAGCCTACTCTCTGCATCCTCCCAGCTCAACCTGATGGAGGTGGACGCGGTGAGAGACTCTCTACTTCTTCTACTGTCGTGGCGACTCAGACTTGAGGGAGAATTAACTGTGTGCCGCCGCAGCAGTCTGTTGTTGACACCGGATGAGAAGTGGCGCTGCGCAGCGGCTGCTCTAAATGCTGCTCCTAGCTAACGTTACACTTTACTCTTCAGCCGTAGGAAGAATTCATTTCTGTTAATAACGAAGGCAGCATGAGTTCATGACAGCTCCGAATGAGGCCCAGCTGCGCAGGTCTGCTTCTCCAGGAGCTGCCCATTGTAGCCTAACGTTACGGGAAAACGGCATGGGATTTTATGGAGACATGTCTGTGTTGTATTAAATTTAGCACTTAATTAAAGTTAGTTAAGCAAGAGACGTTAACCAAACCCTCTTCAGTTGAAACCACCAATGTTGCGACTTAAGCCTGAGCTTTGTAACTTTATCAAGGCGTTTACGGACAGACTACATTAACTTAGTCTATTACACTGTCCTAAAGTTTGCTAAAATGCAGCTCGCGCTCAGCGGTGTAACATTTATTAAAACAAGAAAGCTTGTCACTAGCTGTAGGCTATCTCAGACAAAGAGTGAATGTGTTCACCTCAGAAATGTAAAAGTAAGTGTGTGTTTACTGGTACAACTTGCCGTCCGCGGCGCCGTCACTTCCCGTTGTGCTTCTCCTCCTACACGTCCAACAAACTGGAGTAAACTGATCCAAAGGCTGCTGTTCGGTGTATATGTATAAATGTTATACATTGGATATGATTCATATAAATAAGTGTGTGTGTGTGTGTGTGTGTGTGTGTGTGTGTGTGTGTGTATTTGTACCCTAACGCTGGTCATTTGAGTGGGTCCCTATTTAAAATGTGTTTTTTTGACAAATGATAGTGTTAAACTTGTAATGGATAGGTATCGTTAGGAAACTCTTATTGGTTCTTTTTCATTACTGAAAGTGCTTTTTAAAAATATATTTAAATAAAGACTATATTCAGAACAGGATTTGAATTGAATATCTTAAATATAACTAAATATTATTTCTGCACCGCGGCCTTTCTGCTCTGCTGAGCAAAGTCAGTGTGTGTGTGTGTGTGTGTGTGTGTGTGTGTGTTTCTGGAGCTCACAGAGGGCAGGATTTAGATAGTTTCAACACGGATTTGTCATTCACAAAGTAACATTAAGAAAATCACAGGAAAAGGACGGAGTGTCAATAGTGAGTTTACTGTGTCAGATGCAGGACGTGTACCTGTCAACATCTCTGCAGCTTCCAGCACACCTGTAGCCGGTAGTGATGACAACACTAATACAGAAATGGGGACTATTTCCAGGGAGCCTGCAATGTCACGCCTTTCCATTGGCAGAATGAACAGTAGTTGGTTTTGTGGTGCATTCAAGCACAATAGATTATATTTGCTTGAAGATCCTTAAGTGCATTCTAGGCAGATGTTGGAAAGGTGTAAATGCATCTGTAACTCCAAGAAGCATACGTAAGCTTTACACCTCCCATAGCATAACAGTGTATGTCAGTGTGTATGCTGTGGAAATGAGCCATTGTTCTTATTAAAGTAACAAGGACAAATGTCCCCAGCCAACCGAGCTGCTGTAGCATTTATCTGATGCGGGATCATCTCAACCACTGAAGGATCTGTGTGGATGAGGGAGCGGTGTGAGTTAGAGCCAGTGGAGGTGTCAACTTTTGTCTTGCTTGTAGTTCATAAATACGATTCATTCATGTGGTTGTGGATCATTGTTAGCTAACACTAGCTAGACTGTTATTGTTGTAAATAAACTGCTATGTGCAGAAGTAGTTTTTGGCAGTTACCTGACATCAGATATCGCCTTCTTCTCGACAGGAGGTGACCCTGATTTGCATGTAGCCTGGGAAACCTAAAATGGATTGCAATCAGATTTGTGTTCCGGCCAACAGAAACACGTATATGTGACTAAGTGTAAATTAAATTGTCTGAACTTTCACCTGGATATAAACAAGTGTAAATGGGGCCTGTAAGACTGAGATGACTGTAAAATCCATCTTACCAACCTTCTTACACGTACTGTTCTAAACAAGAGGAATGAATGCCCCCTAAAATTAAGGCACATTGTTAAAGTACAAAGCTTTTCTTAATGTGGCCAGTGTATATTGACTGCACAGTGGTTCTCATCAGGGTCAAACACACACAGACAGGTAAATACTAGACGGACAGCGGGGCATATTTCTATTTCTAGTAGGTTATTTCTTATTTTATTTTTTAGTACTCACTACTTGAATCTGCTCACCTTGCTTTTACCTTCAGTTCTCTTTTCCCGACACACACACACACACACCTGCTTGGTACGGTTGGGATTCACCAGAGGCCCCGCAATTCGATATTATCACAATACTTATGTCACGATACGATATTATTGCGATTTTAAACATATTGCGATGTATTGGAATTACTTTTATCCAACTTTAAATTGTGTCCCCAAAGGAAAGCTCTTTTTCTAGGGCCTGAAAAAGCAATTGATTTCATTATTATAGTGCCAAAAAGGTAAAATTCTCATGTACAATTTCTGTAATAAAAGATCGATACTTGGCGTCCGCGTATCGATACAGTATTGCCACGAAAAATATCGTGATACTATGCTGTATCGATTTTTTCCCCCCACTCCTCCTGCAAAGGTTTTTTGTTGACACACAAAACTTGAAAATAAACTATTCAGGAATATGCCAGAAAGAAGACCAATACTTTTCCTGCTCTGTCACAGGCTGCATTATAGATGGATTTTTAAACATATTTTGCAGTTATAGCCTTAATGACCATTCTTTCTGCACAACGGACACTCCACTCCTGTTTTGTCATTTCTGACAGTGCACAAGCATTGACAGTTCTCTTGTTTAATTCCTATTGGCTGAAATGCTGTATGTACATCATTTTGCTAGACAGTGATTTAATCATCCATGCAACTGACATGGATTTATATAAATTAATATAAATATGGAGAGGTTGCTAGTCAGATTATTACTGTGGTTGTATGTAGGGCTCAACGATTAATTGCATTTGCGATCTTATCACGATATGATAAAACGAGATTTTCTAATCACAAAGGCTGCGATTGCACTTCACATGACACGCAGGAGTAAACCAGTCAGAGGAAGCATCAACTTCGCACGTTATGCTTTACCTTGTTGTTGTACAATGGCCTTAAGCTTGAGAGAAGCCGGCGTTGTCGGAGAATTACTAAGCTTGTCTATTAAACATAAGAGGCGTCACTTGGTTTTATTTTTCGTTGGCCAACTTTTGAATTAAACCTCAAACTGAGTATTTTTGGAGGTTTTTGAGATAGATGCATTAATTGGTGGTTGAACTGTGGGATTTATATTGAGTGCTTAAAGTATAACACACTGTGGTGAACTTAGTTTTTCTTGTGGTCTGTAGATAGGCCGACCTGAGGATATTATATCATATTATTTAATGCTACGATTTGACTCAAATGATCTTTTTCATATTATTAAAATTTGATACTTCTTGTCCACCATTGCTCATAATAATAATTCATGCAATTCATGCACCACCTAATTTCATCATAACACAGGGCTGACCTTTAATCTATCTAATAATGTGTTGTTCATGCTATACACTGATTTATCGTCCTTTTTGAATAATACAGGAGGTAAAGAGCTTAAAAATGAATTGCATATTAAATTGCAATCGCAATATTGGTAAAAAAAATCGCAATTAGATTATTTTCCTAAATTGTTCAGCCCTAGTTGTAGTTGAGTTTTTTTTAACCTCTTTCTGTAAAAAAACAAACAAAAAAAACACAGTTAATGCCCGTTATTATTAAAGCTTCTGATTTATGACCTGGAATAAAACATTCGAAAGACTTGATTTATTTACGTTGTTCATGGACCAATGATCCCCCAGATTATTATATATATATATATGGCAGAGACCGTTTTCTTGCTGTTTCAAATCTCCCAGCTTTAATACCTTTCTCAAAATGTCTGTGACATAGCCAGTACAAAGCAAATGTGGTCTCTTCATGGAGTATTACTTGTTGTTCTGATCTGGTCATCAACAGTTAAAAGGTGAAATTTGCATAATAAGTAGGAAGGGCAGAGATGTTGTTAAGTGCAAAAACTGATCCCTGTCCACCAACAGGTACTACTCAGAATTTTTTTTTCTAATTTACAAAATAATTAAGATGAAATCTGATGATTTTAATGTTTTCTACAAAACAATATCACTGTGGTTTGGTCTCAAGATCTCATTCTACAATTTAGTTATCTGACGCTGCAGTTTGGTGGTATGATAATAGTGTTACACCCGCCCTCCACCCATGTGTCCATGGAATTCACTCTCTCTGCCATTTAATTATCTGATACTGCCATCTGGTGGTCTCATACCACAGGAAACTGAATTCATTTTGATAGATTGACCTTGTCTTTCGCTTCAAAGAAAAAACACAGACGACTTCTTACTGATTTAGTGAGTTTAATTATTTATTTATAACTAAATGCCTGATCTGACTAAATAAAGGATTAATAATGTGGAATGTCATAAAGAAAGTAAATAGACACATCAGATGAATAGCAGATATTAAAGGGGCTATGTGTAGTTATTCAATAAAATTACGTATCATTAAATCAGTTTTTTTACTTAATGGGCTGTAACCTCACTTAGAAATGAACAACACGCCTATTTTCTCTATGTTGCTTGGAACAGCCGCTATTCTGTTAATGTGAAGGTATGGGGTCGGGATGTAGCTGCATGCGCACTCCCGAGCCTCTCTCCGACTATAGCGGCAACACCGGAGCTACCGAAATGCAGTCCACTAACACCATAAAACAACCGGCTCCCAGCACAACATAGACTCCAACATAAACTCCATGTAAGGATGAAAAGCAACAATAAAGGTTTATGTGCTGCACACGCTTGGTTGCAATCTAAAAAGTGGCCCTTGAAAACACATACATTTAGCTCCTTTTAAGTGATGAAATAAACCTGATGTTTTTGACAATCATGAAGTAAAGTATGTGATCTGATTATTGAAACAAAAATGTTAAGGTTCTAATGTAATTCTTGGGCAATTACCTTAAAAATGTCCTCCAGTGGCTCAGGTACATCTGCAGTTATGCTGGGAATATGAGCTGTTCTCCTTTTGATAGTTGACTTGGCGGCTTTTGTCAAGTCAAATAATATGTCAAATAACATATCTGGTTACACTAACATCGTCAGCTATAACAAAAACTATAATATAACAAATGTTCAATAAATGTTTAAATTATATGAATAACAAACAAATTAGCACTTAATTTGTCAGTTAAGATCTTTATTTTATTGAGGAAAAGGGACTGAACAAAGAATTTACTTAATTTTACTCATGAATATTTGTTCATAAAAGATTTGATTTCAATTGTTTTGAAAGTTCTACCTCAAATTTGGTGATCCGTGGCAACTGTTTGTCACGTTCTGACCATAAAGAATATTTTAAAATAACAACTCACTTAGGAGCAAAAATCAGCCTTTAAACTGTATAATGATTTGACATTTATCGTGATAATTATCAATATTAAATGATATGACATTTTTTATCAGGATAACATTTTTGGACATATCGCCCTGGTCTAATTCAGAGATTCCGACTCCTTGTTTTCTTCAGTATTGTTGGCTTTAGCATAAAATAATTTCCCATTTTCCATTTTCCTGACTGACCTACCAAGGGGTTTATTTCTTTTCCTTGTGCCTTATCGGTGACTGTAGTAGGCTTTTACAGCTGGATTCATCTTTTGACGCTATGTAAAGGAAATTATGAAGATAGCCGTGGTTACCATATGTCATTGTTAAAAATAAATTAATAGCCTAAATAAATAAATAATATCTTAAAACTACAGCCATAGCCCGAGCATTAACCATATTGCTCCATACCATTGCTCAGGTTCAGGTTCAGCTGGGGTCTAGACACAATGGATAAGACTAGTTTATTGCTAGTCACCCATTCTAGTACTGTCTGCAACTCTTTATTGAGGGTTGCAGTGATTTCATTAACTGTGGGTGCATACATATTGTTGTATCATCTGCATACATGGACACACAGGCTTTGCTATCTCTGGGTTGAGCCAGAAATCGCCAATAAAGTTGTCAGAATTCTGAGAAGGTTCTGTCTGCTGTGTGATAATGCAGGACTGTCTTGAGTGAACAGATTGAAACAAATTGGTGGATAACTACTGATTTGAAGAATCTGGAGAGATGCTGACCTTTGCGTTGTGCAAACACCACCAGCTTGGTCAGAAAAATGTCAAATGAACTGGACCAATACCAAAGCCTCTGCTAGGCTAAAATAAAATAAAGTTGGATTAACCTCATCCTCAGTGCTTTACAACACTTCTTGGCTCGGGAAGCTCACTTGCTATTGCCAAATACCAGTGGTTGGTAACCAGTCAGTGTTTCCTATTTTAACTCCTATTGGAAGTCTCGGGTCTGTGTGGATTGGATGGATTTCACTTAAGTAGCATTTGCATAGTGCTGATGAGTGGTTTGTAGTGTTAATTTGGGGTAAAACACATGGAGGACATGCTAAGAAAGATGAAGGAGGTGTAAATATTCACATAACAAAGAAAGTACAGAGAAACAAATACTGCTTTCTAACCCTCTGTGTTTTTGTTCTACTTTGGTTCTCAGATTGACGATAAAGAGTTTGACATTCCCCAAGTGGACACACCTCCCACACTGGAGAGCATCCTCAATGAGGTGAAGTACATGTTCTTTTTGAAAGTAACTTTAAGCAGCTTTGAGAAGCTGCTACACTTCTTGAACATTTTATATATATATATACACACACAGTGTTAGTATTTTTCTTATATTTACATTTTGGCCAAGTGTCCTATCGCTGTGAGTGTGACAAGTGATGTACTGTATGATTAAAAACTGCTCATCCAGGATAAAGGTTGGGCCATCCGGTGAGACAGAGTGAAGTTGTTACGATACTGAGAAGATGAAGTCAGCAGGAGACATTTTGCTTTGCTTTGGGATGAATATTTACAACAGTCAGGGAATTCCCTCATCAGGTAGAAGGGTCTTAATGATACATACAGTAGTTTGATGTCAGGTAAACATATTAGTGGGCTGTTACATAACTGCTCCTTTTGGCGTTAATGTGAGAAGAGCAGCAGGAAGTAAGTGCTTTGATTTAACAGTAATTTTAAACAGTCCTGCCACAGATGTAGGAGAGCCCTCTGGTTGAGGTGTGTTTTTTTGTTGTGTGTCTGCAGCTGGAGGATGAGGAGGAACCATTTGTGCTGGAGGACACCTGCGTGCTAAACACAGACAACATGGATGCTCACTCCTGTGACACTTCGTCTCTGGCCAGCTCTGACAGTGGAGACCCAGCACACCTCAAACGGCATGAAAAAACACACCACACAGCCTCCTATTCTGTTTGCCTTGTATAATGCAGATGATATTCAACTATACATCTTGTTTAAGCCTCAAAATGTAGCAGAATTTAGGTAGATTTATTGTTATAAAATGAAATTGAGTTTTGTAACTCCCTTCTGCTACATAGCAGACAATATACATTAGTACAGAAGCAATTATAAAAATGGTAAGTCTGATAGCTTGGGAGAAAAGCTGCTCTGCAGTCTGGTGGTGCGGCAGCAGAAACTTCTATATCTCTTCCCAGAAGGCAGCAGGGCGAACAGGCTGTGGCTGGGTGGGTACTGTCCTTTAGTATCCTTTGGGCTCTGCAGGCACCTCACCTCACCGATATCACTGATGCTCTGGAGATGGGTATCAATGATCTTCTGAGCAGTTTGAATCCCCCGCTGCAGAGCCTCCGGTCCTGGGCCGTGCACATCCCATGCCAGTTAGTGATGTTTCCAGTCAGGATGCTTTCTGTTGCTCCTCTGTAAACGCTGACAAGAACTTGGCGAGGGAATTTGGCCTTCTTAAGCTTCCCCAAGAAATACAGTCGTTTCTGAGCTTTCTTCACCAGCGTGGAGATGTGAGACGACCATGTCAGGTTCTCTGTGATGCTGATTCCCAGGAACCTGAAATAGTTGGAAATATAACTAAACACCTACATTTTAGTAATAATAATAATAATCTTTATTTGTAGAGCACTTTTCAAAAACAAGTTACAAAGTGCTTTAACAAGTGTAAAGATGTAGTGTAATGCTGTAGTGTATTGAAGAACTTATTTCTGCCCCAGATTGTCCCTAAGGTAAGGATAGTCTAGATTCAGTTTCCTCTTCTGTTAAATCTTCCTATAAAGTCTATGTGTCAGTGTGGGCTAGGCTATGAGTCTTGAACAAAATTATAAGTTTGATTTGGTATGTTTTTTCCAGCTGAGAAACATTGTGAAATTCAGGTCCATTAAGTCTAAAGCTTAGATGGAGATTATTATTTGTGCTTTGGTTTCGTCCTGCCTCACCTTGCTTGTACATTACAACAAAAAAATAGCAAGGTAACAAATGAAGTACTCTATTGGTACTGGTATTACTTTAAGGGTACTTGTTTTGGTACTGGTATCGAAAAATGTTAAACGATACCCAATCTTAGTTACATTATATTCAGGTTAAAGTTATTTTATTGCCAAAATACTGTTAGCTTAAGTTAATAATATATTTTATTTAGAACCTTTGTTTATGTGTGTTAACAAAGGTTCACTCTGCTATAAAGATAATCTGTAGGCAGGGTAATAAGGCTGCCTAATTATGACAAAAATCATGAAGTTTGATTAATTGCCCAGCTGATAGGTAGTGTCATAGACGCCATATGGGTGCTGCTGCAGCAACCAAAGCAGCACAAGCATGAGTCAATACAAAGCCACATTCTGACCCTAAAATAGTCCTGTGAAGAAGTGACCACCAGCCAGAAAAACAACACAAAGACTCACTATAACTTTCTTTTGATGCATGCCTCCTTGTCTTTACATGTCCAAGGTAATAACATTGAAAATGTCTTATTTGTGTGTGTGTGTTTGATCTGTGTGCATGTGTTTGTGTGTCTGTGTGTGGACATGTACATGTGTGAAGAAAGAGGAGGACAGTGGATCCAAATGCGACAGTTCATGGCTCTGTTGTTCGACACAGCCTGCTGAAGGGCATCTCTGCACAGATCGTCTCTGCTGCTGTAAGACTTCATGCACGCGCACACTGTGGGGGTGTAAAGGGTCACGGAGGACAAGACGCACTTACAGATCCTTTTGTGATTATTTACTCCAGTCCACCGTGTGTGTATGCATGTACATCTGTGTGTGATTAGTATAACTCATCCCCGTGGACTCCCACATGTGTATGTACCAGAGGCCCTGCTTTGTACTTTGATAGCTACATACTGTATAATAGTAGGCCTATAGCACATACATACATACATACATACATACACACACACACACACACACACACACACACACACACACACACACACACACACACACACATAGGTGCTGGTCATATAATTAGAATATCATGAAAAGTTGATTTATTTCAGTAATTCCATTCAAAAAGTGAAACTTGTATAATGTATACATTCATTCCACACAAACTGATATATTTCAAGTGTTCATTCCTTTTAATTTTGATTATAAATGACAACTAATGAAAACCCCCAAATCAGTATCTCAGAAAATTAGAATATTGTGAAAAGGTTCAGTATTGAAGACACCTGGTGCCACACTCTGATCAGCTAATTAACTCAAAACACCTGCAAAGGCCTTTAAATGGTCTCTCAGTCTAGTTCTGTAGGCTACACAATCATGGGGAAGACTGCTGACTTGACAGCTGTCCAAAAGACGACCATTGACACCTTGCACAAGGAGGGCAAGACACAAAAGGTCATTGCTAAAGAGGCTGGCTGTTCACAGAGCTCTGTGTCCAAGCACATTAATAGAGAGGCCAAGGGAAGGAAAAGATGTGGTAGAAGAAAGTGTACAAGCAATAGGGATAACCGCACCCTGGAGAGGATTGTGAAACAAAAGCCATTCAAAAATGTGGGGGAGATTCACAAAGAGTGGACTGCAGCTGGAGTCAGTGCTTCAAGAACCACCACGCACAGACGTATGCAAGACATGGGTTTCAGCTGTCGCATTCCTTGTGTCAAGCCACTCTTGAACAAGACACAGCGTCAGAAGCGTCTCACCTGGGCTAAAGACAAAAAGGACTGGACTGCTGCTGAGTGGTCCAAAGTTATGTTCTCTGATGAAAATAAATTTAGCATTTCCTTTGGAAATCAAGGTCCCAGAGTCTGGAGGAAGAGAGGAGAGGCACAGAATCCACGTTGCTTGAAGTCCAGTGTAAAGTTTCCACAGTCGGTGATGGTTTGGGGTGCCATGTCATCTGCTGGTGTTGGTCCACTGTGTTTTCTGAGGTCCAAGGTCAACGCAGCCATCTACCAGGAAGTTTTAGAGCACTTCATGCTTCCTGCTGCTGACCAACTTTATGGAGATGCAGATTTCATTTTCCAACAGGACTTGGCACCTGCACACAGTGCCAAAGCTACCAGTACCTGGTTTAAGGACCATGGTATCCCTGTTCTTAATTAGCCAGCAAACTGGCCTGACCTTAACCCTATAGAAAATCTATGGGGTATTGTGAAGAGGAAGATGCGATACGCCAGACCCAACAATGCAGAAGAGCTGAAGGCCACTATCAGAGCAACCTGGGCTCTCATAACACCTGAGCAGTAGACTCCATGCCACGCCGCATTGCTGCAGTAATTCAGGCAAAAGGAGCCCCAACTAAGTATTGAGTGCTGTACATGCTCATACTTTTCGTTTTCATACTTTTCAGTTGGCCAACATTTCTAAAAATCCTTTTTTTGTATTGGTCTTAACTAATATTCTAATTTTCGGAGATACTGAATTTGGGATTTTCATTAGTTTTAATCATCACAATTAAATGAAATAAACATTTGAAATATATCAGTCTGTGTGAAATGAATGAATATAATATCCAAGTTTCACTTTTTGAATGGAATTACTGAAATAAATCAACTTTTTGATGATATTATAATTATATTATAATCATTACACCCACGCACGCACACGTGTGTATATGCCAAGCCATGCCATATACCAATAGCCAAGTAAGATTCATTATTATTGTTTTATCTGTTTTTGTACTGATAGTGTTGTTTGCCAAAATTTGTTTCCTATAACAGAGATGAGTGCCCGAGCTACACTAATATTGCCAATCATGCATCAGAGGCTATTAATGTGGTCACATTCAGATAAACCGCTGGTTTCCCTTGCCTCTGTGATGACAGTGTTCACTTGCTTCTGGCAGCTGAAGCCAGGGGTTATGAGTCACACGTGTGCATGTGCTTCTGCATGGCCCAGTTCTAATCTAATCACACACATGCACACATAAGCACATGTAGGACTTTTAATAAATAATCACATGAGGGTATGCACGTGCGTCTTGTCTTCTGTGACCGTCTACACACGCACGCACACACACAGAAAGGACTACATCAGTCATTAATGTCCTCCAACATTGACAAACGACTGCCTTGTGTTTAGTGTTCTTGATTAGAGTACATATTATAAATGTAGACACCATTAAAATTATTAAAACTTACTGATTCATTAAAGCTAATGGTAATTTCTGGTCTTGGGTCACTCAATCACACCATGTTTTGTTTGGAAAGATAATTATCAGTTAGTATTACTGTGTTCCTGCTCTAGTTCTTTTGCAGGTCTATTTGGGTGATTTATTGTTACAGAAGTCTGTACTTTAGTACTAGCTTTAGAGTTGGACATTTGTTTCTGCAGACTAATGCCTTTAAGATTGTATTCAAGCATAATAAAGCATTTGTATCTTTTCCTCAGGACAAAGTGGATGCTGGACTGCCAACTGCTATAGTGAGTATTATTTAAATGACAACTGAACAAAGAGAGTTATATTAGTTTTCTATGAATTTTGATGGCTGACTCCGTATACCCTCATAATGCAGTTTAGCAATTTCATAATGTGGCTACATACTATTTAAATTGCTATGATACTTTCTATCAACGACAAACAGTACTTTAGACTAGCTTTAGAAGGTTTTTGTACAATAACATAATAATTAAACAATCCAACAGAAGGCAAAGTTGAATATATTTCTGATAGAAGCTGCAGCATTTACACAGAACTCTGTACTCAAGTGTAAAAATAGTAAGAAAAATGTAGAAGTGAAGCAGAAAGAGAATGTGAGGGTTAAGGCTGGGTGATATGGCCAAAAATGTTATCACGATAAAAACATTTCATATCATTTGGTATTGATAATAATAATCATGATAAATGTCAAATAATTATATCTTTATCTTTGGCTTTATATCTAAAGCTGATTTTCGCTCCTGAGTGAAAGTTGAAGAAACCAGATAGTTAAATGTGTTTTTAAAATATTCTTTAAGGTAAAAACATGACAAACACATGCCAAAGAGTAGATCACTTCACAAATCTGAGGTAGAACATTCAAAACAATTATAATAAAACATTTTTTCAACAAATATGCATGAGTAATATATATAAAACCTTTATTTAATTAGGAATTCACATTGAGATTAAAACCTCTTTTACAAGTGAGGCCTAGTCAAGAAAGGGTCATGTAGCTGCATCTAACAAATAAGACAACAACAACAGCAAAACATAATAACAACGTGAGGTACAACAGCAAAAAAAACAAAGCAAAATTAATCTTCTTTCACTCCATTTTTCTTTCTTATAAATATCTTAATAGAAAAAGTATGTGCTAATTTGTTTGTAATTCAAATCTTGAACAGTTGTTATATTGTTATTGTGGAAAACGTGTGTGTGTGTGTATGTATATATGTATGTGTATATGTGTATATATATGTATGTGTGTGTGTATATATGTATGTGTGTGTATATATATGTATGTGTGTGTATATATGTATGTGTGTGTATATATGTATATATGTATATATATATATATTGTGTGTGTGTGTATATGTGTATATATATACATATATGTATATGTATGTATGTATGTGTGTATATATATGTACGTATGTATATGTGTGTATGTATATGTATATGTGTATGTATATGTATATATGTGTATATATATATGTGTGTGTGTGTATATGTGTGTATGTATATGTATATATGTGATATATATGTGTGTGTGTGTGTATATGTGTGTATATATATACATATATATGTATATGTATGTATGTATATATATGTATACGTGTATATGTATATGTGTGTATGTATGTATATATATATATAATGTACGCTTGTTGTAATGTTGTGATGTCTTGTTTTCTCTGTGTTTTGCCTTTCTTTAGCTTTTTATGCCTTCCTCTAATCAGTTAAGCTGGATATTTTTTGTGTTCAGACAGTGTCGGGTGTGATTGCTGTAGGAACATCTCATGGCCTGGCTCTGGTCTTTGGTGAGTCTAAACTTGATTACCCTCCTTAAATTCTCAAAGCAAAGGATATTTGCACTTAATTTTTTTTTACATTTTCATCTTTTTTGCAAACCCCTATGTTGCATGGGTAGTGGTAGTAGTGGTGTGCCTTGCTGTTCATAGCATAATTCTAGTGGCACCATGCTTCACTATCAGTTAAATAATTCATTATGGATGCAGTGCTTGAAGTGGAAAAACATAAGTGCCAGTACGAAATAGTCTCAAATTTGTTAGTAATCATAACCAAACATGCAAAACAATGAGTTCAACATTTGAAAGTTTGCTGTAGCACATCAACCTTTTTTTAATGTCTTGCCCCATCCTGCAAGAATGGAAACAGGTGAGCGTAACATAGTGCCCCCTGGGTAATGCAGTTTATTTTGAATTGCCCAGAAAAAATATGCAAGAAAAAGTCACGGTACACAAAGAGTAAAATGTAGAAGTTCTGGCCAACTGAGTAGCAATTGTATGTGTTGCTGATGATAATGTACTTGCTGAGGATGCAGAAAATGTTGTCTTATTTGTATACTGTAAATGGTGTGAGAAATGGAGATTGTACTTACGTAGAAGCTCTTAATCTCATATTAGCACATATCAGGTTTATCAGGTATGTAAACGGACTGTGTGTAAATGTGTGTATTTCACATTCACATTGCACATCTCGCCATTAGACAACTGTCCTGTTCCATAGATGTGAGGAACAGTAAAGAAGTGTGGGTTTCCTCTGGGTGCTGGTGTCCTCCCACAGTCCAAAGACATTCAGAATAGTTTGAGCATGAATGTTATCTGTCCCTGTGTGTCAGTCCTACGACAGACTGGCGACCTGTCCCTCGACATTCAGGTTAAGGGAGTAATGCTAATGGATAGATGGATACATATTCTAATAAATGAATAAAGTAATTAATAACTCTGGGAAAGTGCATGCATTTGATGCATTAATTGAAACTGCTGCTTATTTTGCAATACTTTGGTTCACCTGGCAACACATTACATACAAATCATATATGAACTTTTAAATATAAAACTTATTTTGAAACGGTATTTTGTATGTTTAAGTTAAAGACCTTTAAGCATTAAAAATATTATGATAAAAAACATCCCCATGATTGTGCCATTGGGTCTCTGGCCCAATATATCCTGAAATGACCCTCTTATCAGTTAGATCTCTTGGTGTCGGAGAGAATCGGCTCTGTTAATAAGTAGTAACATAGAACATGATGAAAACAAATATGTTGAATATGTTGAATTTTAGCTATACATGGACAAATACAAAGAGGACATGATCTGATTGACACAGGAAAGTCTTGTTTTTTATTTGTAATTCGGCGTCACCTTTTGAAATTCACAAGTGTAATAACCAATATTTAGTGTACAATCATGTGCATATTTTAAGTATATTGATTAATGAGCCACTTGAAATGTTAAAATGACTGTGATCGTCTCATATGGTTTACATAACAACAGATCTTTCTTCTTTGGCTTAATACATGCCAGTATCATTGACATCCACCCTCAGGACTGCTTCGCCTGAATCTGACATGGAGGCACTGACGATAACATAATTACCCTCATAAGAAATGCAGGAGCCATCAGCCTTTGCTCTTACAAAATTATTTTCATTTCCCTTATACATCATATCATAAAGATTGTAGTCACACTCGGTTCCTCTTTCAAAGATCCCCACAGCGAACCAGCTGGAGTAGAGGTTTCGGTCGTAGGGCACGGAGTACATGACAGCCATGACGTGGCTGTAGTCGTTGTATTCTGCGTTGAAAAGGTCGTAGGTGAAGACGCCCACAGCCCCGGTGGCAGCGCCGGTTGTCTTGTTGAACAGTGCACTGCCAGCAGAGCAGGGACCCACCATGGGTGGCAGAGGGACTTCACAGTGCCCGCTCTCAGTGAACACTCTGAACACAAAGACACAACAAATCAGACCGGTTCATACAAAACCTTTTTTTTCCCAAATCATACTATAGATGATGCTGACATTCTAGTTCACCCTGAGGGAGTTGGATGAGATTGAGGTCAGTGCTTGGACCTGGCCTTGGACCTGGGGCCGTTTCATGTTGAAACAAAAAAATTGCTGACACAAAATTGGAAGCAAACTTGTGTCAGCAAACTACACATCCACCAATGTGTCCCTGAGCAAGACACTTAACCCCCTGGTTACTCCAGAGGCGTGCGACCTGTGACATATATAGCAATTGTAAGTCACTTTGGATAAAATGAAGAAATGATTACATGTGATGTAAATGTAATGTGTCTAAAATAACATTGTACGCTATTACAAACCATTTCAATGTAAGTTATTGTAGACAAAATACACAGTCATGGTTTTGTGTAAAAATGACTTCCAAAGTCCAGCTGAAGCTAATATGAGTCATCAGTACAGGAAAATATGTATTTATTTTATTTATAGAGCACTTAAAGTATATGCCCACACAGTGCCTCAGTCCATCTAAAAGGATGCCATGGTCAATTACGTCAAGGCAGCTATTAAGTCCAGCAGCACCGTGTGGCCATGTTAATGAGTTGAGATACATGTTGTACAATATTAGAAGTCTTTGTGGCCAGTATGGACAGGAGGAACAAGCAGCTAAATATGCTTGTTCAAAAATCAGTTTGTTTCTTTGTATGCATCAACACACAAACACAAAAAGTGAAACTAATAGGAAATGAACTGTAATGGACTGACCTACTGCTTTGCCTCCTGAGCCATAGCTGCCCCTTAACTTTGGCAACTTTATTTGGTCCTTATTTCATTGTGTTTAACTACTTAATGAAAAATACACATTAAACTCATCAACACTTGTGATACCTTGGATTGGCGAGAGTGTAGCAGCCAGAGCTGTTGTTAATCTCGACAGAGCAGCAGCGATGAGGCATTGTAATGAGGTGTGGAGCGGTGGCAGGGGAAGAGGCTGTAGAGACAAGACAGCATCGTTTTAGTAAATTAAGCATCTCTGAAACAGAGCGACAAAGTCTGATAAAGTCTGAGCTTTTGAGTGGATTGGCAGATGCCTTTGGATAGAAAATACATCATTTTATGATTTCAGAGAAATAAGGCTGCTAGAACCGGTAATAAAGACCTTGAAAAACACTAATGGTTGGTATGGTGGTTGGAAACAGCAGATTCTCTGTGTGCTTGCAGCCTAGAAAGTAATTGTTGTCAACTCACCACTGCTCTCACTTACTTAGTCTAACACAAATACTGTTCTTAATCACTTATAAGCTTGAACGTGGCATGTAAGAACTAACTGAACTAATTACAACAATAATTTCCTCCAACAGCAAGTAACAACAACACTTTCTTGGTTGATTTTTCAGGCTCATTTTGCCGTAATTTTCATTATTATGACTTTTTTCAACTTTATTTAAATGAAGGTTTTTGCATCGCTGGTCAAGCCCCCCGTGGCCTGGAATCTCACAATACCTAGCGAAACAGTCATGCAAACGACAACAGTTATAAGCTGTGAATAACTAGGTCAATAAAAACAATATAATTTTAAACAAATCTAAATCAATGATAACTTGAAAGATTGTGTAATAGCCACCAGCTTTGTGTCTTTATACAAGCCTGAAAGCTGGATTAAGTTAATCAAATCAAACTGTTAGAAGTTTCTCTTTTTAGTCATTTGGTCTACTGTGAATACAGTGGCTCTCGATAACCATGAGGAAATAAGTCTCAAAAAACTTTATCTTTTGCTGAAACAATATTAGCAACATCTGCCTACACTCGTAAAGATGAGCTAGAATCACTAATATGTGCTGTCTAAGTCACCCATTATGTGAATACAAGAGTACTTACTTTTTTGTGATCTGCAGAACCAAAACCAGTGGTTTGTGCTGACAGATTGTTGGTCCAGGTTTCAAGCAGGATGTGGTGGTGAAGTCACATTGCACATGAGCTGCCCACACATTGGATTTTATTGACTCAGGTAATCAGGACCTTTAGGCACCAGTTGACTCCTTATCTCCTGTCCAGTATCAGCTCCCGTTTCTGTTCCCGGACCTGGCCACCACCTTATCACCTTTACAGCACTGGATTGATTACAACTATGAATGCTTTTGTTTGGAGCTTTTTATGTTTGTTTGAGCCTTTTAAAATGGGGATCCATTATTTGCACAGGGCGGGACGTCAGCAGGGTAAAGACGTACTGGTCTGCCAGTTTCAGGAGGGTAAAGACTTTCTGGTCTGCCAGTTAGTCACAGGGTAACACTTTATGAGAATGATGGCACTCTTTTGAAAAGCAATAATAAGGACAACCACAAAAATATGATCAATTCCATAGTATAGGAATTTGCACACTGCTAATTTGTGATTACACAAACTATTTAAAAAAATATAGTATCATTACTCTGTGCAGATGCATTATTGTATGTTCTCTAACCAAGTCAGACGGATAAGGTTGAGTTGATACTTACTGAATTAAATTTGTATGCTTGTTTTGGTTTAAAAGAAGAAAAGTATTAAATCAATTTAAAAAGACTTTAATTTATTTTAAATTGTTTTGTTTCTAGCTTAAGGAATTTGAAAAGAAAGAAAGAGCAAATGAAATGAAGCTCTTTTATACAGTAAACCAAGACCGTAATTATGCACTATGTAAATAATAGTGATCAACGGGTAAGGCAGGGCAGTGGTCAGACGAGATGCAATTACA